TTCATTGTTTTTGATTCAGCCCGATTCAGCTCTTAGGAGTCATTCGTTCGGCACTCGGACTTCATGGGGCGCCGTATGGTTTGATTCACTAAAAAGAACCGACTCATACGAGTCATTTGTTTAAGAATTGGACTGCACCATCCTTCTTATGGTCCGAGGCAGTAGTATTGCGCTTGTGTACTCACACTAGGCACGGTTGCCTTGAACCGAGCCCGAGCGCGATTATCCCCCTCCCCACTCCCCCGCTGGCCTGCACTCACACTTGCACTAAACTTTCCGGGCCGGAGCACGCTTACGTCATGTGCGAGATAACGGAGAAAACCGCTTTCACTAATATTCTGCCGAATAATTAATAATAATTCATTTATAATTTATGCCGTGCATTGATTTTCACTTGTATGTATCAGAAAATTATTACGGAGACAGCTGAGGTTAATGAAATAATTTGCAGCTTTACTCGCAAACTACATTTCCTGTTCATCAATAAGGTAAGAACCAGAGCCATTATAAACCTAAATATACTTGATTAAATAAAATGTATTGAAAAGTGTAGTGTAGTAGTAGTAATAGAATACGTTTAAGGTCGTAATGATGACAGTAGCGCACACAAAATAGTATCTGTTCCGTGCTCCGGCGCGGTTAGTGCTCACACTGCATGCGTACCGCGCCCTGGCCCACCTCTTCCAACCGGGCCAGGGCCGGCTAAACGAATCGCGCCCGAGCCCAACCGAACCGCGCCCTGGCCCACCTCTTCCAACCGGGCCAGGGCCGGCTAAACGAATCGCGCCACACTGCATGCGTACCGCGCCCTGGCCCACCTCTTCCAACCGGGCCAGGGCCGGCTAAACGAATCGCGCCCGAGCCCAACCGAACCGCGCCCTGGCCCACCTCTTCCAACCGGGCCAGGGCCGGCTAAACGAACCGCACCCGAGCGCGGCACGGAGCGCTCACACTAATCAAACGAACCGGGCTTTGGGGGTCAAACGCGCTCGGGCGTTCAAAACGCCAAGTGTGAGTACACGCTTAATATCAGTGCAGAAAACACTGCCAGGATATTTTTGTAGAGTATTTTAGTAAATATAAACGAATACATGTTTCAGAACCATCACGTCATTCGATTGCGGCACTTTTGAAGTTCCCAATCATAAGATGCAGGTGTTCAGTTATGGAAAGCCAATTACCCAGAAAACAGCTTGATAATTTATTCGTTAAACTTGTCTCGCTTTCATCGGGTTACATCACTTTCGCTTTTCCTTTTCCATAAATGTACCACCTCTGGGTTGCTAATAATTTCACTTAGCGTCAGGACCAATGTTACACAATACATATGGCACATTTTGGTACTGAAAGTCACGGTCAGGTTATTTGTCTGAAAGGAAAAGTAGTGCAGCTTGTTTAAGTTCTCCGACATGTCCAACCTGTTGCCATGTGATGGTCTGCGTAATTGCATAATCATCGAGGAGCAAACTCACTCTGTCACACACTCTTGAGGGTTGTGGTCTATATGTTTTGTTTTATAGGTTGTCTGCACATTGCGCTCACTTAGTTGGCATATTGTGACCGTCACTTATCATATCGGTCAGCTTGAGCCATTGTTTCTGACCACTGACGCTCACGTGCTCAGCAGAGCTCGTAGGTCATGATCGCGCCTCTGTTGTGTCTGCGCGCTTGCTGAGAGCGCTCATCCATCCATTCCACTGCAGAGCAAGGAGGGGTTATTGCGGGGGTGCTTCATTAAAAGTGAAAACACTTACACAGTCGCCATTTTATTTCCGTAGTCTACTTCCCTATGAGGTAGCAGGTGATTTATGACTAAACTCCACAACAGATCAAAACTACAATATGTCACTATTTGCTGTGGTGTCACAACTATAATAGCCACCCCTAAAAATGTATAAATTGCATTGTGTAGATAACCTAATACCAAGCCCAGCAGAATCAAAAAACTACCTTCACAATATTTTGATTCATATTGTTCACATAAGTCAAAACATCTGACTGCAGAGTGCCAAGGTTGACCAATAAGAATGAATTATTCCGGAAAACGGCAATAAATTTCAACAACCGAAGAGTATTATTTTATTCATATGTTATTATAATATTATTATTAATATCATCATTACTATTGCAGTTAGTTATGAAATAGCATTAATAAAAAGCATTGCTCATCTGTAAAGCCCTATGACATCACCGTAACTAACTGGATGATTCATTGCACTGTACCACTATCTCCAACCCTTTTGTCCCCCACTCAAACACATGTCTGAGGCTCTTGAAATGTGTCTAGAAACATCAAATGCACAAGGAGGATCACTTAATGTGAGTGCATCTGCGTGATGATGTTAAAGTGCACAGGTTTCCATTGCATGTTTGTGACCTCAAAATGTTTGTGAGTCAGTCTTGAAACAGACACCACATACACTCTACAGACGTAATGATGTGTGAGACTGACCTGTGTTTAAGGCCTAATTAAAATGATGAATGTTATTTCTATCCCTCCCATGTATCCTCACCATGATACCCAGCCAACAACACAACCTGTGGGTAACACATTTTAGAAAAATGCAGTGAATGAAACATCCACACCACACGCACATACCACACTGGAGGTGAATCATGGGCCAGTCAAATGTTTATGTCCTGTTTTGTATTTTGCTAGTTGCTACCTTAGTTTAGTTTACCTTGTCAACAACAGCAAGAAAACACAAAGTAATTATGCATATATGTCATGCATTGAATCTCTTTTTCCAACACTCTAATGACAATTCGCAACTAGTTTACGTTTTTGCAAACTGGTAGCTGATTCATATGGATTTGTGCAATCACATTCATACATTTTCGTTCGAACTGATGGTTAGGGTTAGGCATGGACCTTCATTCTTATGTTTTTTTATCACACGTTTCTGCACAAATCACATTGCATAAATTCGTGCAATATCACTACCTTGTAAAATACGTTTTATTTTTAGATTGGGTTGCTTTTTCTGCACAAAAAAACCCTCCCACCCATTTCATGCATTGAAACTCTTTTTCCAACAGACTCTCATGGCAATTCATAATTATTTTACATTTTGCCAAATGGATAGCTTATTCGTACGACTTCGCACAATCTCATTCCTACATTTTCGTACAATGTGCTTAGGCCCACTGATGTAATGGTGTAGGGGTGGACCTTCATGCTTACATTTTTTACTAAAAACCATATGTATCCGTATGAATCGCATCATAGAAATTTATTGTGAAGTGTGAAGTGTGACATGTGGCCAAGTATGGTGATCCATACTTGGAATTTGTGCTCTGCATTTAACCCATCCAAAGTGCACACACACAGCAGTGAACACACACACACACCGTGAACACACACCCGGAGCAGTGGGCAGCCATTTTTCTGCTGCGGCGCCCGGGGAGCAGTTGGGGGTTCGGTGCCTTGCTCAAGGGCACCTCAGTCATGGTATTGAAGGTGGGAGAGAGCGCTGTACATTCACTCCCCCCACCTACAATCCCTGCCGGTACGAGACTCGAACCCGCAACCTTTGGGTTACGAGTCCGACTCTCTAACCATTAGGCCACAACTTCCCTAGAAGTTGTGAAATAGAAATTTATACAAAATTGCTGATTTCAAATTGATGGCTAATGACTGAAACTGATGGCTAATTCACATGAATTCTTTCATACATTTTCATACAATTTGCTTATGCCCCACTCCTGGTTAGGTATAGGGGTGGACCTTCATGCGTTCATTTTTTTCCCATAAAAAAGTACATCGTACAAGCTCATATGAAATCACCACCTCGTGAAATAGTTGAGATTGGGTTGCTTTTTATGCACATGGAAAGAACCCCTCCCACCCATGTCTAAGTAACCCACTCTGTAGACTTGATATATCTGGGTCACTCTAGGAAAGCATGAAGCATCTGTATATCTGCAGTGCTGAGTGTGTTTTTAAGCTAAATTTAGACATGTACTCAAAGTTTTAAATGTCATGCAGATGTGAATGAAACCTATTTAGCACAAACAGTATGAGATTAGTGACTGTGGTTAAATCTCTCTCATTATGTCTCTGTAACTACCTGCTGTACAGAACAACTCATTCATACATGACCTCAGTTTTCCTGACTTGCAGGACATTAAATGGTAATCAAAATAATTTACCATAACTATAACTCCTATATCCCCTCCTTCATATTTTTATAATTCACCTTATGATTCCTACAACCCAGTATGAATGATCATTTAGGAGACCTGGGAACTAAGCTGATTTTTCTCCCCAGTTTTAGGGTCATTGTTAAGAACTGAAACTGAAAGATCAAGATCCTAAAAAATCTGATACAGCAGAGAGGTGGAGGAAGATTGAAGGTGGTTTCCAGGAGTAGGTTTTGCAGCTGCTGAGTCTTGTGTTCCTAGGACAGATAAACCTGACAGGGGATTTTTTTTCTCCACTTGGGCAGCTATGGAGGTCAAAAGATAAATTAAACACATGACAATAAGTGAATCATATACACATTATAGATAGGCTACCTATGTTTGGAAAACCCATTGTCAGTGGTTCCCCAACTGTCATGCAACTGTAAAATTAATCTTGTCATAAATTTAGTTTGACATAGTTTCATGTCATACATGTCAGTGTTTTAATTCATGTTTGAGTTATAAAGGCCAAATAATTCACATTGTAGAACAGAAAGTCTCATTTAGCCTACACTTTGCAAAGTTTACAGCAGACATATATTTATATCTGTCTAAATATTTTCTGATACACAAAATGAAAATGTACAAAACTTACCATGTTAACTATAATATCCGTCTAAATTGTAGTTATAAAATTATTGCTTTCACTAAAAACATAATTGTTTAATCTCGAATCTCCTTCGTAGAGTTTTAGAGGCTTTCAGAAATCAAAATTTCTATTTACTAATGCAGTCCGCGTATTTTCTCACTGCGCATGCGCGCCTCTCCTGTTCCTGATGGCCGTCAACATGGCGGCAGTCGAGTGAGACGTATGTTTAACTTTACACTGACAACTGATTTCTTGCCTCGCGTGCTGTGTTTACGTGAAAGAACGCCGTCGAACAAAAAATGTCCCGTCACAGGAATGTCCGAGGTTATAACTACGACGAAGGTATATTGGGGAATATGATATTTAACCGCTTTTATCTAAGGAGGCCTGTATGATTGCTAACTTAGTTAGCTTGTTTATTTATCCAGTGTTCAGTGCTGCAGCTTATGACAGACTGCTGTCCTGCCACTTTTTCAGATGGTAACAGCTGTACTGTGCACCTGATAACGAGTTCTGTGCTTTTAAACACAAATAGTAGTATCTAGTAATTAGTAAAAACAGCCAACACTTACATTACATCTTGCTTTTATATTTCTTTATATTTTGGTGAACACAAATCAGCTATATAGCTTATATAAGACAAATAAAATCTGGTTTCTTTTACTTCTTAGTAATCACAAATTTATTCTATTTCAACCATGTATTTGTGCATTTTGACTGCCAGTTTTGTTTATAACTCTTCTTGCATTGCTTCAGGTGGAGTGGCTGACTGAGCAAAGCTTTTTTGGCCCCATCAATGCTTTTCTGTTTGTAGATGCAGCAGGATTACTTTAACTCAGTGGTTCCAAACCCTGGTCCTGGAGGCACCCCAACACTGCATGTTTTGCATGTCTCTTTAATCAAACACACCTGATTCAGATCATCAGCTCATTAGTAGAGACTCCAAGACCTGAAATTGGTGTGTCAGAGAAAGGAGACATGCAAAATGTGCAGTGTTGGGGTGCCTTCAGGACCAGGGTTGGGAACCACTGCTTTAACTAACTAGGAATATAACAGAATTGTCTCCATTTCTTCCTTGTTCATAGACTTTGAGGATGATGACATGTACGGGCAGTCAGTGGAGGATGACTACTGCATCTCTCCTGCCACTGGTTTGTGTTTAATATTTAATAAATGTATAATTATGAGGGCACAGTCATTTAGATAAGTCATAAATAATGTAATTTATATTTTTAAATGGAAGATTGTTTAATTATCATCTGCATATAATTTTGGCCTTATTTGCTTGATTAAATTGATAGATTTGGTTTGAACCCAGTAATCTATGAATTTTACTGGCTGTGTATGTACTGACTGTATGACCTATTGCAATTTGCGTATGTTTTTTTTGAACCCTTTAACATGTTGAATAATTAACTGTATAATAAGGATTAAGTTAACTTTTGTCTGTTATGATTTATGTGTGGATTAATGTTTTTCATAGCCGCACAGTTTATCTACTCGCGTCAAGACTCGAGGCAGGCTCGACATGTAGAGACCCTGGAAGAGGCAGAATATGAGGAGGAGGAAGAGGAGATGCCAACCTCTCCCACTGTTGCAAGCACACTAGACCCACTACAGCAAGGTACACACTGACTTTATGGGTTAAGATGGTCACCTAGTCATCTAGCTGGCTAGTAAGTTTATCTAGTTTTTATATATTTTTAATAGTAGAGCTGTAAAGGATATATAGAGAATATTAATATAGAGAATATGAATATAGAGATGCCACTTCTCAGAGGATTTTAGAGGGCAGACAGTCTAAAAGTTAGACCTATTGCTACTATAGACTTCCAGAATGAAGTTTATATAAAGTTTATAGCCATCAAGACTAGAGATGTATCGGCCAATAAATGGTATCGGCTGATAAAAGCTATTTTTTTCATTATTTGCCATCGGCCGATTGTTCAAAACCAGTCGATGATCAGAGCCGATTATATACTGTCAATCAAAAGGCGGCGGAAAAAATGTGTCGGACTGCAGCTCCTACTGTGTGTGAAGAAAATCTCTCTGTTGAAGTTTGGGCTGTCAGAATTAACGTGACAACATTAACAGTTAAAAATAGCGACATTAAAGCAGACTCTATTTGACCCTATGAATCACCTGTAGTTCAAGCCAGGGTTGCGAGATCTGCAGTTTTTCTCTACACCAAACATTATTTGGAGCCATTTTGACGCTTTTAAATGTGTCGTGACAGATCGCTGTTGCACCTCAGTTCAAGCAGCAGTGCAGAGCGTGAATCTCTTCCACTTTCCACTATAAGTTATAGTGCAAAATAAACATGAATGAGCATCAGAAGGTATGTTGAAAGATACAGTATAGCTTACCAAAATGTATCATGTCTTATGTAATCGCTCAATCAGTGTTTCAACTGCGGAAAGATGTCAATAAAACAGATTGTGAACAGTATGTCACTTAACGTGGCATTTACCTCAGCTAAGTTATCCACTGTTCATAATTAATTAGTTAGCTATAAAACAACACTAAAGAGGAGCTTTTTTACTTATAATTATATATGTGTTAGAATAAATCTGGCATGAAGACAGGTATTTATGAAGACTGTGTGCAAATGAGTTGTAAACAGACATTTCAATTTTTATTTGAGTGTAAATATGATATCTGAAAATAACTAGCAGTTGAATATAATAGCTCTGCTGCTAATTTTAACCTTTAGTATATGTGCCAAATGATAGGGTTCCCTGTGTAGTTAACAGCATCTGTTAGGAGAGATTTTATTTCCTTAAGAAAATCAAACTATTATTATCAGCAGATATCATTTTGACTAATCTGCTATTGGTTTCGGCAGAGAAATTCAGTATCGGTGCATCTCTAATCAAGACAATTACATGCATATTTTCTGCGGTGTATAATGCTCCTGTTAGTATATGTAATTTAAAGTGAAAAGTGATGTGACGTAGCCAAGTATGGTAACCCATATTTGGAATTTGTGCTCTGCATTTAACCCATCCAAGTGAGCGCACACACACACACACCCCCGGAGAAGTTTGTTATTCTCTTTTTTTGTTAGAACTATGGTTTTATATTTATTTATTTATTTTGTGGAAATGAAGATTAAATAGTTATTCATCTTATATATTTGGTTAGTTTCTGTCAGTTTCCCTATTGAAGTGTTGCACTGTTGTGTATCTAATAAATGTTTGATCAGGGTCTGGTAGATTAAACCAGCCTAACCAGCTTCCTTAAAGGTGGGGTAAGCGATTTCTGGTAGCCAATGTTGACTTTTGAAATCACCAAAACAAACACGCCCCTACCCCAAAAGGGTTTCGCCCCTATTTTGATAGCTCCGCCCCACACATACGTACGCAACCCAGGCAATGATTAGTTCTGTGAAACAAGGCAAAACCAATGTTACACCGTGTCTACACCGGATGCGAGTGGTGCGGCGCGACAAAATACTATGGAACTCATTATAATCAGTGATGCTGTCTACACCATAGATATATATACATATTTATGGTCTACACTGGATGCGACACGACAAATCCCTGACAGAAAACTGCAAATTTCAAATGATTTTCAAAGGGTCGCTTTGTCGCGTCCAGTGTACTAGACAGACTTTAGCTGTTGTGGTGCAGACACGGTGTTACTCACCTATCGAGAAGAAACAAAGCAACCTCGGCGTCCGATCGCAGGCCTTCCGCTCCTTCAGTTCTCTCCAGTGCTGGAAAGCTGATCCGATATTTACACGGGTCCTACTTCTTGCCTTATTGCCTTAATTGTTCC